TACTTGAAATGCGTACGATTTTTAACTCTTTTAACAGTAATTCTAATGCAAAGTATATTTCTTGATTATAAGATACAATCAATCGAGTATTAAAGTTATTTTATCGAGCGACGAGCGACATCGTTTTGCTTTTAATACTGACTGAAAAGTCAAACGTTCCAACAGCAACGAATTGGTTCAGTTTGGGCTATATTTGTGGACTCAGGCCAACGAATCATTAATTAAAAGATAAGTATTGTATTATTTTACTCTTATTGTACTCTTATTTGCTATAACTATTGATTTTTGAACAGGAATCATTCAACTTGTTTATGCGCCAATCAATTTATACTGTTAACATCCCCCCCGGGCATACCCCTGGGCATTTGAACTTTTTGAACTTTTGTGGTCAAATTTCCCACTCCCAGGACAAAAATGCTGTCCAAATGCCCCAACCCCCCAATCATTCTGACTGTAATTCTATCAGTTCAAGTTTGAAATTGTGTGAAAACATACACTGAGGTAACTTCAACGGTAACTTCAACAGTTTAATAAATGAGACTCTGTATTAAACAACTTACATATCATGCTTTATAAAGCTTCCAAAAGTGTTTAAAGTATACTCCATTTTGAATTTTGTTTTTTAATAAATCTCAGACCTCGCGCAATCTGGTGTATTGGGTCGTTCCAGAAAACATCCATACCACCCCCACGGAGGAAATTGGAAGTTAACCCCCTACCACCTTTGGATGTCCTAATGCATTTACTATTATCAGAAACAATTTTTTCTCCCCTTCCCCTCCGGACGGTAGAAATTTCCTCTGTGGGGGGAGTGTGGATCTTTTCTGGAACGACCCATTAAATGGTCAAATGCCCCAGTCTTGTGACTCAGCGTAAAATGCCCTACCCTAACAGCACTTCAAAAGGTCAAATTCCCCACTCAAGTTGTCAAATGCCCGGGAGGGTGTTAACAGTATAAATTGGTCGGCGCATTAAATGGTGCCTGTCACTGGGCATTCCATTCTGTATGATTGTGGATAGATAGAAAAATTTTATTTACCCATGCTAACCCTGTCAACTGAAGCTGATTTCCTCAGGGGGTGTGTAGTGCTTCCTGTACATGAAGAGACACAATGTATAATATTTGTCTGCTGCCACTTTATTAGATTTACTTGGTGGTCACCTTCAATCATATCTTTGTTTGCACCTAGCTCGTGGTCTGCAAACACAGATTTGTTGCCATCCAGGAGAAAATGATGACAAACTTCCAGAATCATTTTGCTTTTTAGGTTCTTCATGTTGTTGATGCTGTTGCCTTTCTGGCAAACATACAGCTTGAAGATATGTTCACAGTGTTCAATTGTAGTGTAAACAGACTTTGATTTGTAGTGTACTTGTTATGGTTAAATTAACCCATTAAGCGCCAGCGCTATCCCCTTGACAAGTGAAATTGTCTGGCGTTAGAAAGAGTCTGACGTTAGACAGAGTAAAATAATAAAATAGGGTGCAATGCATCTCAATGGGTTAACTAGACACATGGGAAGATAGGCTAGTTAACCCATTAAGCGCCAGCGCTATCCCTTTGATGAGTAAAATCATCTGGCGTTAGACAGAGTGAAATAATAACCTAATGTGCATCAGGGCGCAATGCGACTCAATTGGTTAATTTTACAATTTGTTTCTCTGTGACCTTTACAAGAGCCTTGTAACGAACAATTGCTACTTGTGATATACAGTAGAACTGTTGTTAATGGACATTCAGGCGAAGTGTGGAAGTGGTCATTGAGTACTTACAGTTTGTGTAGTTTGACTGTACATAGTTTTACTGTAAATATATATGTGTATTGTATGCCTGGTATGGTCAAATGTTGTCGGTATGTAATTTATTTAAAAAAATACTATATATTTACCCGTGTCGGGTGATGTGTGTATTAATTATTGCAGTAAGGCCTGATTAATACATTGTTGCAAGAATAAACATTTGCCTGTGAAATGAAATTTTTGGCTTATTTTCTTTGTTACTGCTGTAATATTCATTACTTTTACACTTGTAAATTGTACAGTTAACTGGCATGTTATTTTTTCCTTCTGAAAGGAGATAGCTTTTGTTTTTTACTTTAGAAAATGATTTTTTTCTTACAATTTCAGAAAAAAATTGTTCTCTGACAGGTGAAAAAGGACTGGGGAGAGTTAAAATTTGTTGAAAGATTTGTTTCTGTTTTTGCACGAAAATACTCATTATTAGTGATACATAGCCTACCTAAATGGTAAAAAATAAGTGAAAAAGTAAGATTGATGTAACTTTAGCCCATATTCGCTGTGTTCTTTTCAAATTACTCACCGAAAGTCCTGAAAACACAAAAGTTTGCCGATGTTTCTTGGCGGCTTTTTTGCCGAACTTGTTTTTCACTCATCAAATAAGTTGAGATAAATTACAAAATGTTTCTAAAATTTACTTCTTCTGAAAGACCACTTTCTCTAGTTTACTAGAGGCATAGAAAAGCTCGACTTTCAAACAGTTGGCTGAAAAATTATGAAGCTTTTACATAAAATGATGAACATTTTTCATACGGAATTGGATCATACCTACAAAACGAGCTTCAATTTCCGCCATCTTGGCTTCAATTTTGGAGCCGCAGTTATCGTTCCAGTATATAGTAGAGTTCACTGTTCCAACCTCGTACCCAGGCTCTTTGCTCTTGGGAAGCAAAGAGCCTGGGTACGAGGTTGCGGCCATTCAAGCGAATGCCCTTCTTCTGGACTCTACGTCTGAGATATCATCACAAAATTATATTACATTTTATTATATTCTTCAGACGATAGAGTTAAAACTTTTTCATTGGAACACAAAAACAGTGCTAAGATATTGCACATACTGTATATGAATGTAACAATTAAAAATCCTAAAATATTTAATCCTGACCATGAAACATTGCCGGAAGTTTTTAGAACGCTTATTGATAAAGACTAAATAATGCTTTGTTGACGCTATAATACGCTATTATGACTCTTTTATCCAGTGTCTTATTATGGCTCTTTTGTTGACTCTATATTACGCTTATATGACTATATTATGACTCTTTTGTCTTCTAGTCTAATTATTCAAAAACCTAATATTTTAGTTAGGTCATTAACATGTAAATAGTATTTAAGCGACTAATCATTTATGCCATTTTAATCCTGATGATGGACGCTTAGTCCGAAAGCTTGATTTATATTTTACGTTTTTTTTAAACTGTAAATAAAGATTTTTACCAGTGCAACATACTACCACTACAATGAAACAATTACTTAGTGTACTAGTGCATCCCATTTTTTACTGCATGAAATGCTGAGTAGTTTGTCCCAAAAACCTAAGTAAAATAATGTACCACAGTGACTCAAAATTTTGAGTAAAATTACTCAAATTTATGAACAAATTTACTCAATTTTTTGAGAAGAGATTACTTTATAATTACTTTAAAAAAGAGTGAATTTGCTCGTGTGCATGCGGTGCATTAGTTCACTCGAGTTTTTGAATCAAAATGTTTTGCAGTATTGCCACAGGTATTGCCACGCATTCAATATAGATCTATTTATATATTGTGCTCAACATCAGGTAAATTTACAGTCGATTTCAGCTCCCTTTTCAACGTGCTGTTCCCAAATTCGTTGTGAATTACTGGCCAATTACCTTTCGAAGTTCGCATGGGCGTGAACTTGCAACCAACCTGCGACGTCCGATTCGCATTTCGAACTTCGCTAACATTGTGTTAATTTGATCATTACGCAAGGAAAAAACATGACCTAGCTGGTAACTCACTAGAGGTTATAGACAGGATTGTTGAAAGTGGTTAAATAATTTTTCATATACACTCTGCATAATGTACTCTTGTTCATAATATACTCCCAGTTTTAAGTAATGATTCTTTTGATAGTTGTACATTTATCAATACAAAATGGAAAAGAAATTGTCATTATTGAGTGCATGTCGAAATGTAATATATAAAACGATTTTTCAGCACAACAGTGCTCGTAGAAATTTTCTTCATTATTTAAATATTTTCAACAATTCCCACTCTAACTTGTAAGTTGTAATTGAGAAAAACGGCACTTTTTGGAAACCGTGTGGTGAAATCTACAATATGAACCAGATAGAAAGTTGCCTTAATTTTTAAAGCATAAGTCATGTAAGGGTTATTCAAGCATGTCATGCGTTGCGCTCTTTTAGTCCACTATGCAAGATAAAGGTTGATAAGAATTATAATAAACCCATATATAAATTATTTTTTCTGTTTAGACTCACAAGGCGAAAGCGATGGTAACTAAATTTTAATCTATAAAACAGTAAAATAAAACAAAGTAATCGCATTAAAATGAAATAGTCAAGCTTAATTGTATTTTAATATGCAAGTAACTAAATTTCTACTAAATTGAACGATTAATTTTGTTGATGATGTATCGCGATAAATTTTATTTCTAATAAATGTTGGCATTTTAAACTAAAACAGTTACGGTCTAGATTTTTTATCTTGGATAAATTATTCTACATAAATTTAAAAATTTCAAGTTCAAGTTCGATCCTATTTAATCAGTTGTAAGTTGAGAAAATTTATAATAATATTGAAATGGTGAAACTATGTTTAACCCCTTATTAACAAACTTATTTAATTTCTGATTATTCGTATAAATAAAATAAAATAAAAACGCAAAAAGCGCGCGCTATATATTATATATATATATAATTACTCTCAAACTTTCATTTGATTGCGCGCATTTGTATTTGCAAAAATTCTGCTTTTCTCTCAAACTATCCGTTGTATTCAATAGATAATGGATCGCGAGAACAGTCGCCACAAAGGAATAACCATGAAATTAATGGTGTTACTGATGCTGATGGACTACCACCAGAAATGCCAGCCAGGTTAGAATCAGATCTATCGTATGTATGATCTATCATTTTTTGTAAATGATAATTTCGAGCGGAAGATTATATACAATTTTTAGACCTAACCAGGAGCAGTTGCGAAAAATGCAACTATAGACCCTGTGGCAGGCATCGAACCTGCGGCCCTGCGTTTCCAGTGCAGCGCTCCCTATGATCAACTGAGCTACAGAGTCCAGTTATCGATAGTCTGCGATAGCAGACTGATCTCAGCCGACCCCTCCTGGAGCGGCGGAGAAACAGTCTGCGATCAATCAACACTAATGCCGTACAGTTACTGTACGTAAGCAGTATTTTGCATAATTAATGTACAATTATTCAAAAAATGTCAAGTCCAAGATGGCGGACGCAGAGCAACTATGAATTATTATACAGAACAATGTAATTTATGCCATTTTCGGCGTGATCACAAAGGAAAACTTCAACCAATCATATTTCGCCCCCTGTGGTGTGGTGACAACTGTACGGCATTAGTGTTGATTGATCGCAGACTGTTTCTCCGCCGCTCCAGGGGAGGGGGGTCGGCAGAGATCAGTCTGCTATCGCAGTCCGCCGACTAAGTTATCGAGCACTAACCACAAGTTGTATATTATATATAATGGGCGATGTCAATATAGGTATGGGTAAAAAATCAAGATTTTTGGGCATCTCGCTCGATAGAACTAACAGTTGATGGGTTTATTGTAGATGGAAATTTCGAGTGGAATATTATATCCAATTTATAGACCTAAGCGCAATTGCCAAAAGTGCAACAGGCTGCCTGGCAGAAATCGAACCTGCAGCCCTGCGATTCCGGTGCAGCGCTCTAACCAACTGATCTCGTATGTATGCATTGTATTACCGTGCAATAAAATTGTCTACCGAAACAAAACCCACAAACAATTTAGTCATCATCTTGTAACCAATTGTACAGTTAGTATGAAGTCTCTAAATATCGGTAATCATGTGATAGCTACTACAATTAAGAAAAATGATGATAACCAGAGAATGTTTGTCCTATGTAGGAGAAAGCTTGCAAGACCAAGTAGTGCACGTCCTGCTCCGCCTCGTAAGAAACGACAACAAGAGGAACAGGAGGATACCATAGCAAAGTAAGTAAACGATGCTTGCCTTAATTAGAGTTTCCTAATGGACCTTATGTCTGCATAATGACGTCGCAAGGCGTGAATTCTGGTCTCAGTTGTCACGGCGGGAAAATTGAAAACAATCCAACATGGCTACTGTCGAATGCAAGTGTGCTGCTGTTCTTTGTCGTCTTTTGCAGGCTGTTCAAGCCAATGAAGACCTTGCTCAGATCTTCAGCCCTGAAACGGCAACATCCACTTTCATTGACCAGTACGAGTAAAATAATACGTGGTAGTGTTCCTAATTGTTTTAGCCAACAATGAAAGAAATTCAGAACTATATTCTGTTATACACAAAGGAGTTACATTTTGTGCTTTTATTGTTAGTCGATAATTCGTTGGTGTAAGCTTTGGAACATTCAAATATGGCAGCTAGTTAATGTATAGGTTTTACATCCTCCTGGAAAATGCAAAGAACACACTCTATGGCCTGTTATTGGAAAGAAGTCTTTGCAGGCAATTAAATTTATCCTCTTCTTACAGAGTTCTTTTGATTACGTAAAGCCGCCACTTCTTTTACTCCTACTGGTCGATGTCTATGAAATCGGACTGTTTGTGGTTACTTTTGTGAAACCCCGTGCAAGAGTTCTGAAAGGAACTAGGGTCTTCATTGGTTTGATCAGCCTCTGAAAGATGACAAAGAACAGAAGCACCATGTTGGATTGTTTTGAATATTCCTGCCGTGACTACTAAGACCTGAATTCCCCGCGCGCATCACGCCTTGTGACGTCATATGCATAAGATCTATTGCTCCAATTATTAGAGACTTTTGTTAGAGAAATACCCCATTTTGCTAATGCAAAATATTCCTAGTTGCAGTCCTCCTGGAGGACGAAAAGGTTGTACTCATGGCAGCTTCTTTTTATAGGGTTTAGCCGAGTACTTACTTTTTACGCCCGAGAGAGTATGGAAAATTTTGCATTTAGTATACCTAAATGGTGTGTTCATACATGCCTGCTAGCAGTGGCGTAGCTAGCGGTCCTGCTTGTCCTGCCCAGCAGGACTAAAAATTTCCCCAAATTTCCTTACTAAAACATTGCTTTATTTATCTTGAATTTATCATTATCATATTGTTATTTTGTCTCATTTTCTCGTCTTTTTCGTTATTATTTTTTAAAAAGTTCGCAATCTGTTATATTTACGCAATTTTACAGCTTGCCGTGTCTGTTACCTAGCAACTGCAACTCTACATTGATTTACACGCGACCACTGACGCGACTCGTATTTCAGTCCTGCCATTTTCAAATGGCAGGACTTGCTAGTATATTTCATAGTAAATTCATACAAGAAATCTTGGTTTCTGATTGGATAATTAGGTCTGCGCATGCTCGAACCGACTGTTTACAAATGCGAAGTCCTGCTCTCTCGAAATGGCAGGACTTGGCCTTGTATTGTCTTTACTTGCGAGTTATCCGCGTGACTAAACCCACTTTTTACTAATTCTGTCGAGATTACTCAAGTTATGAATATGGAAATCAACGAGTGTGGAAGCCCAATTGATTTTGATATAATTTCTGGCTTCTGCTAAGATATTTTAGCTCACGAAATGCATGTGAACAGACTCGACTGATGATTGTGTATTTTTATAATACAATATAATGGGGAATACAAACTTCATTTGTGAAGCCTGTCGTATTGATATAAAATAAGAACGTAATATTTACTGTCAGTTCATCTGCATTGTGCATTTGAAACGAGCACTTATATGGAGTTTAATTTTAAAAATGATATACTGTACCAATTCACACTGTTTATGTAGAGTATTTGGCCGCATACACTAGTCTATATTAAACAGTTAAACGCTATATTAATACCATAGGCATAGCGTACTGAATTAATGGCATTCAGAGTGCCAGGCGTAGTGATCTGTAGTTGATACAACTCCATTATATAAAGTTTAACACATTACTAACAAACGTAGTGAATTTTTAACGAATGCTAGCCGTAGCGTTTTAGTGTAATGCCGTGTTCAACAGTATAATAGTTACGCAATTGTTGATTATGCCGTGATCGAGGTTGGATATGTGTTGATCAAGTGAAAGATCGTATTACAGACGCGTATTGTATACATGATATTTTCCTCTTTCGTGACTTGACTATATTTAGCCACATTTTCAGTTAATTAAGTTGAAAAATATATAGTGAAATATGATAAAAAAATGCATGGATTTAAAAAAGTTACAAAATTTTTTTTCTAAAAAAAATTATCAAAAATTTTCCGCTAATCACGCAATTTTTGGATGTTCCCTTTGGAGTATTTCGCCGTGAAATCGCAGGAAATGGCCATTCCAGACTTTTAAAATTCAAAATTTCCCGGGGGAGCATGCCCCCGGACCCCCCTAGAATGTGTGGGTTTTAGAGCAGGACTAGTGAAATTTCGCTAGCTACGCCACTGCCTGCTAGTAAACTAAATTGCGAGTGCTCATGATGATATTAGTGAGCTTTTTAAGCGACCGATGTTTTTGTCAACACGGACAAACCTCCTGGGAACGAGGTTGAACACGGACATACCTCACCCGAAAATTGGTATAACTAATTTTGGCGGCATTTTCCATCAGCGCTTGCGTAAAGAAGCAAAAAACTTTAAACAGGTTATGTTAAATTGTGATATGCGTTGAAGATTACCACAAATCCTGTCTCTCCTCGGCAATCTGACGTCTGTGTTGATAAAAACGTCGCTTGCTTACACTAAGTTCTACAACGTTCTACAATAGCAAGTTCTATAAGTTCAACAGCTCTTGGAATCTCAAAACATAATTATAGTAGGAGTCATGCAAGTTTGCAAAACTAGAAAGTTCCAAGTGAGTCAACTTATTCTCTAAGCATATCTATTATTTGACTATTTAGAGTTGGTTCAACAGCGCAAGTAGCTAACGTGATCGTGGATAACAACAAAGATGATGAAGAAGATGATACGTTTTTAGTCGAGGAAGCTCCTCCAGTCACTCAAGAAGTCGTTCATGTGAGTACGGATTGCACTGTATTTGGATATAATAGACACTACTTTGTTGACCTTGCTACTTGAGAGAACTTGCATGCATATCTTTTACAGGGCCGTCTGACAAAATGTCCGATGACGTTGAGTTTGGGTTGGACATATGTCCGATGACCTTCAGTTCAGTTTGACTTGAAAATAAGTCTGAATGACACAAATGAATATCAGCACAATATATTAATTCTGAACGGTAAATGTTGTGAAGATATTAAATAATTTGTTTCTTTCATACTTATTTCCAAGCCAAAATTAACTTGCTTTCCAGAACAGCAGTAATAAAAAAGGCTTCGACTTTCCAATTCACCATTTCGCTCGCCGCCCTGCGCTCGACTGCGTTACCTTCTAGGATACATTTTGATTTACGATGGACAAAGCTACAGTTCGGTCGGACACAAATACACTTAGGTCGGACAAACAATAAACTTTAGTTTCACTTTGGTCGGACAGAATGTCCGGTAGTTTCCTCCTTACGTCGGACAATTTCACGAATGGGTCGGACAATGTCCGTGACCGACCAATATTTTAAGGCCTGCTTGCATGGTGTAAACTACTGATGACATGTACAACTTTTCCACAGTAAAATCCAACATGAACGTACCAGTGGATTAAGGACCAGCTCACATTTTGGCAATTGTGTACCCCCAAATTACATGCAAGAATCGCTTCAGTCAGGCTGACAAATACTAAGCCGGCAAGTTCTAAAGGCATAATAGACCTTTCCCCTTATAACGAAAATTTTGATCTAGGCAAGTCTAGACAAATATTTCATCACAGCTTGATAGAGCATCACAGAATTAGTAATATTCCAAAGTTTCGTTGCGAAATGTTGTAAAATGAGGAAAATAGAGCCTTGCGAAGTTTGCAATTTTCAGTCATTTTAGATTACAAACGGGAAATTGATGCCCCAACACCCGAATCGGATATCAATTTCCCGTTTGTAATACAAAATGACTGAAAAACGGCAAACTTCGCAAGGCTATATTATCCGCATTTTACAAGATTTTGCAACAAAACTTTGGAATATTACTAATTTTGTGATGCTCTTTCAAGCTGTGAT